CGGAGGGGGCCGTCGTCGGTGCTGCTTCGTCGGAGAAAGAAATCCGGATCGATACTTGGATACTCCATCCATTTTATATTACTCTGACAGGTGTGCGCTTGCATCTATAGAATTGTACCACGCTTAGTACGTGCGTTCAGCATAAAACCACCAGTCAGCAAAGCAAAACACTATTTGGAGGGTTTTTGCACGAAGCAAAGGGTGAGAAAACTCTCAATTTTTGTATTCAATATCAAAATCAAAGGTGTTTCAAACAAATATGGGCAACGACTATTTATAGGCTAAGGCTAATGGCATTTGCAAGAAAATTTGCAAAATAATAATAATCCTGAAATCTAAAATATAAGGAAAATAAAAATAATTGAAAAGATATTTCTCTTAAATTGCTAACTTGCTAATCAAGTAAAGCAATCTATTCCTTAAACTAATTTTTATATAAATAAAATAATCTGAGGAAAATCAAAATAAAGATCTTTCCTAAAACCCACCAACTTGTTAGTAAAGCAAAGGAAATTATTCCTTAAATGTAATTTGATAAAACAAAAATAAAATGAGGGAAAACAAAAAGAAAATAAGTTCCTTAAATGGCTTGGAGTGGATGCCAAGGTTCTTTGGCGCAAAAGAGGGTTGACGTGCGTGCGAGGGCATGGCGAAAGGTGTTGGCACTTGCGGGGTAGCAGCAGGCGGGCGTGGTGCTGGGTGCGATAGTGGATGAGAGTTGGGGCGAGGTGTGGGCAGCAGGCATGTACATTGAGCGAGGCGCGCGGCAGGAGTGTGCGTGCGGTAAGGCATGTACGTTGACACTTTTTTGGGTTGGTTTCTTAAAACTTCTCTTTACATCTCTTTTCCATTCAGCCGGTGGGAACTTGATTTATACACCAAAGTCCAACCTGGAAAAAGGTGAGTTAGGTAAAATAATAGGAAACCAAGATGAGATGTGAGTTAGCATAAGCGCATAAACCATGGTCCTAAAAACAGGTCCTCTGACCAATAATGCAAGTGAGTTGGTAGATATTCTCTAGGTTTGTAATCACACATAAGCATATGATTGTAGGTCACTCTAGCCTCTGCAGCAACCAAAAGCGTTAGTGAAAGAGTAGAACTCGAATCCTAAGAAAAGTCAGGAATTGCGCCTGGCACAATTCCCCAACATAGTGTGCTTTCCATGTTTTGCATCAAGACTAAGGTAGGAAGCAAAGAGGTTAAGTTTTATTAAATTGCTTGATAGTTAAAATCTCAAACAATAACATTTCAACACTATTTTGTTCATAAACCACAATTGCATATTTGAACCATTCACTTCTTAAAAACTGTTTTGAAAAGCAACAAGTTTCTAAGGATTCGAACTTGGATTACATCCGAGTATTACTTGTGACCGTGTGCGCTTGCACGAGTATCTAATCTTTTTTAAGGTAGAGAATGTCCCAACAAGTTTTTGGCGTCGTTGCCAGGGACTTAAGTTTTCAAATCATATTCTTTTCAAGTGAATTGTTTCATGTGTGATTGTTGCATACAAATGTCATTGGACTTCATTGTTTATCTAACATTTAAGGGAGTTGTGTATAAGCACAGGGTCTGGTTGGTTGACCTTTGATCCAGAGATTGAAAGTGAAGGGATGTGATTTCCGGAGCGGAAGCGGACTTTCGTTGCTGATTTTAGGGATACAAAATCGAAATTGAAAGAGGGAAAATACAGGGGAAACAATTACCTTTGAAGAACGTTTCTTCAGTAAGTTCCCATCGAACACCACTATCGGATCTTCCTCGCTATCCTCTTGGGTCTCGGGATCGTGCATGTGGTAGCACCTTGATAGAAGAGAGGGAGAGATTGAGAGAATTTTGAGAGCAATTCTGGGAGTTTTCCTCTTCTGTAACCTTCTGTAACCTTCTGTTTTTTTTCATTCCCAAACTCTTGAAGAAGAAGAAGGGTGACGTGGGGTAACTCCCCACGTCACAAAACCTCCCACTCCCCTGCAATTTTGCAGGGGAGTTTAATATTAATAATAATATTATTATTATTAACATTAATATTAATATTAATATATATATATAATATATAATAATAATTATAATATATATATAATAATTAATATATATATATATAATTAATTAATCAAATTAATTAATATAATTAATTATTAATCCAATTAATAATTAATAAATATATATATACATAAATAATTAACACTTAATTATTTATTATAAAATTAGAATCATATTCTAAAACATTTCTCTCGTATAACCTATAGTTTTAATGTACATCTTATGCACATTATTTTTAACCTATAGTTTTAATATGAATCTCATCCATATTACTGATTTGAATCTCATTAAAATAATATCTCTCATAATATATAGTTTTAATTTACAATTAACTATATATATTATAATGTATCAATATACATATAATCCCTTAAGTAATTTGAACAATTCAAATTCTTTCAAAAAATTTGATCCTCGTTTTACCCGTTATGAGCTAGCAAAGGGACCTAATGGACCTACAGATTCGAAGCTTCAACGATGCAAGATGAATTGGTCAAACTCATTGACCGAGTTAATCTAGATTCGTTAACTACGGGTCATTCCACTAAAGACCCGCAGTTGCACTCTTCTCACTGCAGAATGTTTTCGTGTCCATGGATATACGACCATTAATGACGAGTCAATCCTTCACAAGTGTTCGTAACTCAAGTTGGGTCAAATAACCGTTTTACCCCTAAGTTATATCTTACTCCTTAAACACCACTGCTCCTCTAATGAACAACCCGGTTATGGTCCAACCAATAACCGGAAGTCCCTCTCAGCCAATGAGAGGGTGGGGCCCCTTGTTCAAGTCCCGGAGTCAGCATTTAAGGGAACACTGACCTACTTCCCTAAAGTCAGGGAAGAGTGAATTTCATCTTGTGAAATTATGTTCCCAGCTCCCCACTCGGTCTCGTCCCCAAAATGGTAGGAATATTGAGTCGGCGACTCGGGCCACTCTCACCCATACAGATCAAAGGACGAGCCCTCACGGGCAGGAGTCCATAACTCACTCAGGATTGAGAATGAGTTGCCTGGTCATCCTAAGAAATGGCAATCTATTAGTTAACGGTGTTACATCTAAAGATTGCCTATTTCGCGGTCCGGTCTTATACAAACTCATTGTATAGGATACCCCCACTCGCATGTCTCCACACGAACGACCTGGATCGAGTCGTCTGTAACCTTTACAGAGCGGGCCGTATCCATAGTGTTGCCAGGATAAG